CAAAGGGTTTGTCTAACGGGATGCTAAATTTCAGTCATTCGCCTATCCCATCAATTGGACAAGTTCCCAAAGTCTCGTCGTGATGCTCTGCATGATAGCGTAGCACGGAGCACGCGGTCATACTAAGTCGATCTTGGGATATCTTAGATTGATAGATATAGGTGGTATAGATACTCTACCACATCGAATCACAACTGCCCACTTTACGCAGGAATTCATCTTTCGAATTTCCATTTGGTTCACACTTGTTAACGTTGGGAAAGCTCGGTCTCCACTCTGTTATTCACCTTTGGCAATCAGTTGTCATAGGACATTAGTTGTTTGCTTAGAATGGATGACTTTGGGGCCCCGAGTTGAATCACTGTTGCTCCTCGATATCACGCAGCTTCAATTCTTCATGTGCTCATGATCTATTGATGTTTGAAACTATTCTACGCCTTTGCCCATCAAGCTTTAGCCAAAACCTCAATTTTTTATCCTAAACTGGCAATACTTTAGCCACCACCCACAGTCCTTCAGCCTGAACGCAAAAACTTGAGTCGCTCGCCGCAATAGGCGAGTCAGATCAAAAGGTATCGGAATATACTCTGAGATCAACGAATTTTGAAACATTTTATTTTCCACAAATGTTGATGTTGCAAAACTTGGTTACAAAATGAGTTGTGGCGGTTGTATGCTGCGCCACATGTTGATTGGAGAAGATTTAACCGATATATCCGTATCATCACTCTTGTACAGCCTCCGTGTTTCCGTATACCACGGGATACTCGTGTGAGTAAAAATCGCAAGTGTAACACAAACGATAAATTTCTTTGCATTCGCAAGCGTTGAAATAAATAAAGTTATACCACAAAAGGTAAGTGCTTACCGTTCCGTATATCCGCCTAAAGTAAACTCTGCCCTTGAGATGTGGATATATTAACGGACCGAGCGTAATGAACACTATTCATAAAAGATAGCTCCTTTAGCACACCGTTTCCCATCAAGCTTCAAACAAAACCCGTCATTCTTGAGCCTCGATCGTGGTACTTATGTCAACTGTTGCAGCGTTAATAAACAGATGATAGTCATGTGGAGTGTATTTTTTTGAATGGTGTTTATTATCCCCGGCATGTTTGTAGATCCACGTCTCATGGACAGAGTTCACTTGTGAATGTAAACACAATGTACCGTGTTCTACATTTAAGATTTTTACGCACAGGAATATGGCGTGCTATACGGAAACACTGAAGCAGCTGTACGAAGGTGTGTCAAATGGGTTCACGATACGGGCATATCTTTCAAACACTCAGCGTGTGACTACCCTCATCTCATTTCTTAACCAAACTTTGCAACATCATAATTTTTAGAAAATGAATTTTTTTTCAAATCCGATGACTGCAGAGTATAATCCGTTGACTTTTTGGTCTCACTCGGCTGCAGTGGCATGCCTAAAGAACGTGCACCGAGCCTAAAGGACTACGGGTCGTGGCTGAAGGGTTGTGGATCAAGGCTAAGGCACTGTGGGTTTTGGCTAAAGCTCGATGAGAAAAAGTATTGTGTCATTCATTCCCCTTAAGACCTGGCAGTGCGGAGCACTCTGTGTGTGTGCGTACGCGGAGAGTGTCCTAATCTAAGTCTCTGATGTGTTTATATGCACGTGTTTTTGACTTTTTGCTTCACCCATACTCGTCATTATGCTATTGCGGCGGGCCGAACGAAGCGACTCTTGTGCAGTGATGTACGTTGCACGTGAACCGTAGATAGAGAAACGACAGTCCGGAGGAAATGAGACGTTCTTTATCGTGGTACGACTATGGTTACTGACAAGTTTGATCAATTATTTTTGACTCCTATCCGAAAATAGCTGTCCACGCAGTTCCCGGTCAGCAGCTCAATTGCTAACTTGATCAATGTGAAGGTGCAACAATGGTGTCAGCAATTGCATTCCGATACCGGAAAAATCTGATGACTTCGCACGATTTAATTTTTCTAAAGTGAGATGCTTGAGAGCACCAATCGGATGCATGAACCAATCCGTTCTCTTAGTCTCTATCAATTAGTCTGGTAGCATCCAGAAGCATCGGGTAATTTCTCAGGGCAAATGAGAATTTCTCTGATCCGCACGATTTCAGGAATGCTAATCCGTACGACAAGAAACGTGTTATGTGGTTGGGATTGACGCGTTAATCGATTTCAAGTTTACCTTTCTCTCATCTTACTAATTCAGAATAATTGACTTTGGAAAATTCTGTTAAAAAATTCCCCTAACCCAGTTTCCTGAGCGTTAATATTCGGTATTTTCTCAGTCATCAGGAGACGAAACAATCTATCAATTATGCAGCAAATCTTTGGTAAATGTGGTCGTTGACGAATGAAGTCTATTCCCCAAATACTAGACAGAATTTATCTAAGAACATCAAACTGACTGACTGAAGTGGATAGATGAAACCCGGGGTCATCGATCGCAACTCATCTCGTGGAAACTGACCGTGTGATTGAATCGTTTTCTCCCCGTTCAAACCGTTCATGAGTGAGGAGATTAGATAAATGGATAGCATGCCATATTAATTTTTCAGATTTCCTCGGTTTCTCTTTTTTTTGCTAAGTATCCTATCTAGGATGCATTCACCAACATTGCTGCGCTTTTAACCCTCCCTCCCCCACCCCACCCCCGCGCGCCTCGGGATGGCACTCGCCTGTTTATCCTCTAACCACAATCACCCACGTTCTCCTCTGCAGAATGTGGTCTCAAAACACTGTGCCACCTTTGCCGGTTTCGATCAACAGGACAGTTTGGAGTTTCTGCTATTTCTTCTGGACGGGTTACACGAGGACATGAATGAGGTATGCTGCTGTTTCTGTTTGTAATCCGTAGATCACTTACTAATTTCCATTTCATCCAGATAGCATTCTCGAGATCAGTTGTACTTGTAAGTGGATCATGAACTCCGCCAAACGGCGTCAACCTGTGCGTGTGGTTCATCTTGTACTACCTGCATTTCTTCACAGCCTGAATATACTGTGTGTGAAGACTGGCAGTAGTAGTTGGGAGAAGTCGATGAGGGACAGCAGTGAGCAATATGTTCTCGAGAAAATTCACTATGAATTCATGAAGACATTGACTCATCTCGGTTCGTTTCTAGGTCTTCTCAATGTTTACACATATGCGAAAAAGTCTTAGCATTTTGGTTTCGAAAATCGATAATTTGCCTGGTATCCATGTGTTATTAGTTCATTGAAATGTGACGTAACTCTCCTGAAAAAATGCGATCGATTGCACGATGACGAAAATGTGACGGTTATAAATTAAATCAAATTATTTTCTCCTACTCATCCAACGTATTGCTGTATAATCAATCACGCGTTTAAACTGTTTTTGGTCTATGGCATATTTTGTGAAATCTTACAGTTCAGTCTCACTTTACGATTTTCATCTCACTTTGATGACTCTGAATTCAATCAATCCGAATAATGTAGGGGTTCACAAACAAGACACTTGGGTTTTCTGGCTTTGGTCACTACTGTTCAGTGCCCCCGTTGATGAATTGAGAAAAGTTGATAATGTACACCTTTTTCCCTCAATTTTGAACGAAAAAACCCGCAGTCTCAGCCCATAGTCCTTTAGCCTCGACCCACATTCCTTCAGTTATAACCCACAATGCTTTAGTTATGACCCATAGTCCTTTAACTTCGAGGTACAAGCTTTTAGTCATACCGCTGTAGCTGAACCAGATAAAAAGTATTGGAATATACTCTGAGGTCAACTAATTTCACGAAAATCTATTTTCTGCAAATGTTGATGTTGCACAGCTTGGTTAAGAAATGAGAAAATGTGGTGATAGTACGTTGCAGCACATGCTGGTTGGAGAAGGTTTAAACAATGTCGCCGTATCGTCAAACCGTTTGGTACATCTCATACCGATTCAATGTTTCCGTACAGTATGCGATACTTCTATGAGTGAAAATCTCAAATGTAACACAAACGGTACATGGTTTTGCATTCAAACACTGAAACATAAAAGCAAAATATGTTACCACAGAAGCTTGAATGTTTATCGTTCCGTATCTTCACTTGAAGCGAACTCTGTTCACGAGAGGTGAATGAATTAACAGGCCGAAGATAATAAACATTGTTAACAAAGATACACCGCCCTTGCTTTAATCAGTTTAATAACGCTGCAACATGTGACATGATTGCCACGGTCTAAGCTCAAGATTTACGGGTTTCGTGCAAAGCTTGATGGAAAAAAGTGTACCAACGTGGGATGGCTGGGGGTGTTTTAATGTATGAACATGAACAGCTTTCACTTGAAGTGGAGATCCGGAACGATAAATATTCACGCTTCTGTGGTATCATTTTTTTAAATTTATTTCA